ACAAAACTACAATACATTTACATATATATGTAGATAATAACTTCAATTTGCTATGTTATCATAAAATTTTATGAATCAGGTATATATAATATTTAAAAAGCAACATTTTGATTCTAAAGACAATGCATTATAAAATCAATTTAACAATAATTCTATTTACTAAAACATAATATTACAACCATTTAAATTTTCTTCAGGTTACTCACTTTCAAAAAAAACTTTTGAATTGTTAAAGGTTGGTTTTGCTCATTTTTTTAATTTTTGCTCACTGCTGGCCCACTGTGCAATGGAATCCAGGATTTGTTTCAGAGGTAAATATTTTGTATATACTGTTAAACCAAAATCTTGTATTACATAAGACTAAGTTAAAAGCTAATAACATTGATAACGCTTTTAAAACTTAAATGACTTGTTATAAAAATTAAAAAAAAAAAATTTGTTTTGAAATATTAATCAAATGATGCCGAAGACATTTTTAAAATTTAAAAAAAAGAAGTTAATAGTTTACAATGAGTATTTCACTTGATTATTGTATATTGGCTAGTTCAAACCAGTCTTGTTAAATTCTAATTAATTCTAATTAATCTAAATCTAATTAATTCTAATTAATCGATATCTAATTAATTATAATTAATCGAAATCTAATTAATTATAATTAATTATTTTACTTGATTAATGTTTATTGGCTAGTTCAGACGAAAATCTAATTAAATTAAAGAATTTTTCTTGTCTAAATATCATGCTTCAAAATACGCAAAAAATGATTTTATGTCATTGTTTATCTTTTTTTTTCTCATTCAAAGCCGTGATTATCCCATTTTATATTTTGTTATTATAAATCTTCGTCTAGTTAAGTACTTAGAAGTATAAAAAAAACTATTGGGAAGTAAATGCTTTGCCGCGAAATCCAACTCAAAAACGAAATTCTAATCTTTTGACGATTGTGACATTATAATAGTTAAAGCCTTGAGTTTACAAAAAATTGTATAAAATAATCCTGGTTTAGTATATTCTGACTCTAAGGCTGACGACAGTGAATATGAAAACAATGAAGAAAAAGATGAGACAACTCCTACACCAAGCAGGAAACATTATAAAAGCAAAATTGCAGTCAACTTGGTGACCTCCACAAGAGTATCAAAAAACAAAGCTGGTAACATATGCTAGCAATTGGCTCGTGAAGGTATTGACATTCCAACTCCATGTCAATCAGCTATTTACAAGTCAACAATCAAAGAGGCAATCAAGCTGAAGAAAGAAATGGTCGAAAAGGTGCATATGGAAAGTTGATCCTTACACTTTAACGGCAAGCACATCGACAGAATGGATTATTAAATGATCGTCCTCAAAAATGAACGAAAAGAAATTATATTGGATGTCCTTGGTTTGGTAGATGACAAGGCTTTAATTATTGTTCAAGGAATTCCTAAAATCCTCGATAAATTTCACCTATGGAATTCAATACAGATGATTGTTGCGGATGCCACAAGCGTTAACACTGGAAAAAAAGAATGAAATTGTTGTAATATTGCAACAAATGTTCACACAGAAACGCATCAACACACCTCAGTTTATCATTTATCAACACCATGTATTAGATAGAATCCTCCGTTTGGAGATAGATGAAGAACTTGGAAGTAAAACACAATTGCCAAACATCAAATATCCATTTGTATCTCATTTGTTGCTAGGAAGCAATCACCATGGTGAAAAATTATAGACAGAAGACTTATTTTACATAAGATTTTGTCATCGAAATAACTTTTTGATTAGGCAATCAAAACAATTCTTTCCGAAAAAATTTATTTTCATGCAGTGAAATTAGTGACAGTACCAACTTCAGTTGTCTAAATACAAATGTAAATCTAAATATAAATGTATATATGTATATATGCATATATAAACGTATGTATGTATATATATATATATATATATATATATATATATATATATATATATATATATATATATATATATGTATATATGTATGTGTATATATATATATATATATATATATATATATATATATATATATATATATATATATATATATATATATATATATATATATGTATATATATATATATGTATATATATATATATATATATATATATATATATATATATATATATATATATATATATATATATATATATATATATATATATATATATATATATATATATATATATATATATATATATATATAAACCCACTCAAAACAGCGTATGTATAATTGCATTTTCTAATAAATTAAAGTTCAAATTTCGGTTTTAGTTTTGGTACACGGCTGTTTCACTCAATATAAAAACGAGCGTGACGTCATGAGTTTATCAAAAAAAAAAAGTATTTCCGCATAAAAAGTATAAAAATTCACAAACTTTAAATTAATAGTAACTTTTTTATATAAATGCTTTCATCTTGCAATTAAAAAAATATAAAAGATCTATCTTTCCTTGTTAAATAAATGTTTACATTAATTGGTATAAAAATAAATATTATTAAAATATTTTTAATAATTTAGAACCACTTTTCTAATTTTCGCATATTTTCCGGAAAACATGAGTTGGGCCAACTAAGATTTCCTAACATAGCTCTGTACTTGATAGCTGAAATTTGGAACACTTAACCCTTGTTTGTCCATTCTATCAGATTCCTGCGTCATCCTAGAGATTTTTTTACAAAAAGACTGTTTTTAAAGCATTTATATTTTTTAATTAATCGTTTTTAAATGCAAAACGTAATTTTTTTGATGGATGACGTAAGTTAATAAAATTTCAACCTTTTATGCAAATGAAAATAAAAAAATTATTTTACGTACCTTTAGCTATGTTATGAAATATGTTTTCAAAAATGTCATGTTTTACAACTAATCTTGTTAGTTTTAGGCGTACATTTGTGTTGACGTTTTTTTGCGATGACGTAACCTTTATGCGTTACGTCCCAAACTATTTATTAACGAATATTCTCCAAACAACTGTTCGGCGAGTCAATTTTTGAAGTATAAACTAAACAAAGTTACGCGGAATTTTTCTCTTTGGATTATCAAACTAATATCAGATAAGTTGTTAAATCCACTTTTATCTATATTTGTTAATTAATATTATTTTATTTGTTTTTATTATATTGATTAATAAGTCAATATTATTTTGATAACTATGTATTCAACTGAGAGGGAAATTCTAAAACAACATATTGGATGGAAAAATGGTTGGGAAGATAGGTGTAACTTTCCTTTTGTTAAGCAATTAATTAGGACAGATAAGATCAGTAACAATGTCATTTCCATTTTAATGACAGTCTTTAAAATAAGAAGTGATTTATTTAGTTTTATGAGTTTTCTTTTGCCAATTGATTTTGATATGCCTAGTAATGACGAGTTTGATAAAATGTGCCTAAAGTTAACACGCCAAAAAAAGAAATATAAAAAAATTTTTAAAGCTATAAAAACGAAGAATTTTTTAAAATGCAACTGTCACAAGCTCCACCCAAAAAAAAAAATCAGCAGATGCAGACGACTTTTTCACTTTAAATAACAGTCAGGAGCTACTGAATCAAATTGATCAATTAACTTCTGAAAATAAAACAAATATGGAGCAAATAGAAAAATTTTAAATGCAAGTATTTAAGTTGGAAGCTGAAATTACAGATTTAAATTCTAAAAATAGGGCTCTCAATACACATTGTAACTCATTAAGTTCTCAATTAGAGACTATGAGTATTAGACTAAAACAGGAGGAGCAGTTCCAACTTAAAAAAAAAAAAAAAAAAATTAAAACAGCTCAGCGTAAATTTGCATCTGCTCGTGCCAAAAATATAAGATTGCTAAAAAAAATTAATATTGAAAAAAAAATTGCAAAAATTAGTGATTTAAGCCAGAACAGTTGCCAAATTTGCAAATGTTTTGCTAGTAGCGATAAGGATTTAGTTGTGGTTGATTCTTATTTAGACTACGACAACATTGGTTCCTCTGAATTATTTTGTGGGTTTAAATTAAGTAATCCACAGAATTTATCAGTTAAAAAACCAATAGTAAAAAATATACTTACGTTAAGTTAAGAAATGGTAAACCTTATTCTAAGTTAGGTAGGCATGCTGCAGCTAGACGATCTAAACTTGCTTTTATATTCCTTCGATTATTAACTTGTTCAGATTTAGAAAGTGATTTGTCTATGTTGTTTTGTGATTCTATGTCTTGTGAAAAGTCAATATTTTGTTGTGTTGCAAATAAGTTGGGTTTAGTTAAGCAGTTAAGTGTTTCTGATGCTGTAGAGCTACATAGCCAATTAAGGATGCCCACGGCTGAATTCCTTAGACTAAGACGTATTCTGTGTAATTTTGATGCAAGGATTCTCCCATCTGAGCCCAAGATAAGACAAGAACAAGAAATGCAGACAATGCATGTCAATAAAGAACATGTCACTGTTAAGTCCATGTTAATTTATCCATCTGCGAATGAAGCATTATCTGTACTGATGGTCAAGAATTTGACAACTTATATTGAAGAGGTTTTTAATTATCTTTATGTACGCGACCACCTTAATTCAGATGTCGGTTTTGGCGAAGAAGTTTGGCTCCTTTTTGCTAGTGATAAGGGTGGGAAGTATATGAAATTCTATTTTGAAGTTGTCAATTCTAAATCATCATAATATCAATCAATGCATAATAGCGTAAATAAGGAATTAAGACAGTTGCATTCAGTAAGAAATCAGGAGCAGAAGCTGCATCTTGTTTTAAAACGCTTTGAATTGCACAGCAAAGCTGATAGGAAGCTTCAAGCCTCTAAGGTGAGAAAGTGTGTTGTGTGTTCTGAGCGTGGCGAAAATTCATTTTATAGACAAGGTCTTTGTCTTGTTTGTGGTCATCAAATTGAGTTAAAATATTTAAAAAATTAAAAATAACAACAACAACAAAAAAACTATTTACAAGTAAGATAAATTATATGAGATCTTTAATTTATATATAAGATAATTTTATTCTGTTCTAATATCTGTGTAATGTTAGTTTAAAATATTATTTTTTATTATAATGATTTTATATATTAGGTAGGTGCCCATTCTCAGAAGTTATTTATACCTATGCAATACCTTTGCTCAGGTTAAAGAATGGAATACTAGTCTTGCATCAAATGTATGTAAAGATCTAGCTTTTATATATTAACTTGTGATCAGAGCAACTGGTATGTTGGTTGGGTATCATCTTGTATGTTTGTGTATGTAATTTAAAAAATATATTGTCCTTCTTTATATGTAACATTTTTTTATAGATATTTTACATATCCATTCGATGTTTATCACCAGAAGTTAGTTCTACCTTTGCAGTACCTCTGCTCTACATACCTCCTCGCTGGTTAAAGAATGGAATATAAATCTCATATCAAGTTGGTGTAAAAATTTAGTTCAATAAATTAAGAATTTGTAAACGTTATCAAAACTTTGAGTGGAGCAATTGTTTTTCTGGTTTAGCATGAGTATGAATCTGATATCAATTGGATGTACAAAGATAGTTTACAACTTAAAGAACCTATCAGTAAACCAACTGATTATTAAACAGTTTTTAATGGGAATAATAACAAATTTTTAAAAGATTTCAATTAGCTATTTGTATATTCAAACACTTTATTTACTGAGAGAAGAGGCTATAGATTCAAGTTCTATAAAATAATTCTACTACCAAAAGCGAGGTTAATTCAAAAACTTAAACTCAAATTCGGTCATGAATTATTTTACTAGACTTGGTGAGTCTTTATTTATTAACAACTTAACACCATATTATTAGAACTGTATGCACAGAAAAAAAATAAATGCTTAAGCTTTAAATGTTTTGACTAAATATTCCAAAATCAAAATCTGGCTTTATTTTGCAATGCGATGAATTTATTGGGTTAGGAAAATAAGTTTCTAAAACAAGAACTCCTAGGTTTAAAAATGTACTCTTTTAACAGCTAATCCCCCTTTTAACTACATTTTTCATAACTTTGCGAAAAGTGCGGTTTGCTTTCAGACCTCAATAAAGTCTGTTTTAGCTATCCTTAAACAATTAAGTAAGGTTTTTTTGTTTTTATAATAGTCAAACAATGGGTATATTTGAGAATAACTATCAGAAATAAATTTTTCTGATTTTTTTCTGATAAAAAGTAACATCAAATTATTTGAATTCAGCCAACTTCATCATTTGTCGCGTTTTTTTTAAACTTAAAGAAGTTTTTTTACTAATGCATTAAACGTCGTAAGATGAAACATTTTATTGGTGATTTTATTCTTTTTACAAAACAAAATTATCTTTAATATTTTAAAAGTTATAAAAGTTTTAGTAACACCTCTTAAGTCAATATTTTCAAAAAATAACAAGAAGCCGTTAAGCTCCGTTTGAAACAGCCGTGGGTAAAATGTTTGCTAAATAGTCAGTTTTGGTATTGAACTAGTATATCCAAAATTTTGTTTTATTTCGGTTTCGGCGTATTTTCTGTTTCGGTCGATCACTAATGAGCAAGTACTCATAAATCTAAATTAGTCGCACTTTATCAAAATTAAAAGCATGCTGCAAGAATAGTTTATAATCAAGATAAAATCTCACGTGCCACTTTAAAAACACTTAAAAGCTTTTAATGTTTATCAAATTAACTTTTTAAAGAAATTTGATGTTTATGTTAAAATTTATACTTTACCTCTCCATTTCTAAAAACGTTTTTTTAATAGTAGCAAAAATAGATGAAAAAGAGGAGGAGGAAACAACTTAAAATAAGAGATCTCTCGCGTTTCTCTATTGCATTTTTTTTTTTTTTTTTTTTTTTTTCCACGTTGATTTATCACAGAGCACCGCGGAAGAGCATTTAATAGGAAGTTCACGCCTCCTTCCCAACCGATGTCGCATAACTTGCCCAGAGGTGGGGTTTGAGCCGCGGAACTTACGTTTCTGAGGCAAGTGCGCTACCACTGCGCCACGGCTGCTTATTGTGTCTTTATCTGCACAACAAGTAATATTTAAAAATATTTAATTTACAAAATCGACTAACCTGAATTCTCCTAAAATATTATTTAAGATTTCAGCTTAAGCACAAATAAATTTATGAACTTTTATTATTCAAAACACTGAAAACATAAAACTAATGAAAACTATAAAAAGTTATAAAAACAAGAAAAGAACATTCTAAGAAAACAAAAAAAAAAAACATTATAAAACAAAAACAAAACAAGAACATTATAACATAACAATTATAACATAACATTATAACATAACAAAACAAGAATATTATAACATTATGAAACAAAAAAGAACATTAGAAGAAAATTCTGCCTAGGGTTCACACTATTGTTATTTTATTGTAAAAATTAAATACAATAACACATTAAAATACAATATTATTGTATTATAATACACTATTAATGTATTGAAACACCAGAGATGTAATTAAAACATTATTTATGGTTATTGTATTGCTGTGAATAAAAACAGTTACAATAACTATTGTATTGTTTTTTTTTTCTAACAATACTTTTTTCTAACATACACAATTACAATAACTATTGTATTGCTGGGATAAAAAAACAATTACGATAACTATTGAGGTGTATTGTATTACTATTTCAAAATCTAATAGCTATTGTATTTTAAAGTATTTAGATTTTTTTTCCGCGCTTTTTTTTCCGCAGATTGTTCATCACCTATCAAACCTTACCAGTAAATTTTGCAGGAGGTTATTTTTGATAAATGAGGCAGTTTTTTTTTGTATAACTTTGCATAGGGTTAGGACTATTGTTATTGTTATTGCAAAAATTAAATACAATAACAATTACAATACAATAATATTGTATTGTATTACCAGAGATGCAATTAAAACATTATTTATGGTTATTGTATTGCTGTGAATAAAAACAGTTACAATAACTATTGTATTGTTTTTTTTTCTCACAATACATTGAAGCTCTAAAACTATTGTATTGCTGTGATGTAAAACAATTACAATAACTATTGTATTGCTGGGATAAAAAAACAATTACAATAAGTACTGTGGTGTATTGTATTACTGTTTCAAAGTCTATTAGCTATTGTATTTTATAGTATTTAGATTCTTTTTTCACGCATTTATTATTATTTGGGCATTAGATAATTTAGCGGTGCCTGTGATGCTCATTTTCAGCAGTCATTTATATATATAAATTTTATTTATTTTGAGAAGTGAAGTGAAACCAGCAAAGCCAAAGATGTATATATATATATATATATATATATATATATATATATATATATATATATATATATATATATTACATATACTTAATAAACATAAGGTTCAGGGGCGCACATGGCACCTGTTTCTAGCAACCATTTACATATTTAAATTTTATTTATTTTAAAAAAGTAATTTATTTTGAATTAATATTATTAATATTCGTTCAAAATCATACAAATATATAATTTATCATATGCTTGTTATTAAATAATTATTTACTTTAAGAAATGAAATTTTTTATTTTTTTATAATTTTGTCTAAACTGATATTGACATGTTTCACCGGATGATGACGACTAAACTAATTGATTAACTACATCTAACCGCTAATATGTAATCAATTACATAGTTATGGAATCAGAGAACCATTGCCCTGAGTAATTATCGATTAGATTGTTACAATAATTATTGTTATTATAGTGGGTCATTACAATACATTTTTTTTTTAGATATTGTTATTGAATTATGTAGATGAATTGCAATATACAAATTGCAATACAATATTTATTGTTATTGTATTACAGTATTAAAATAATTGTAAACCATAAGTTGTGTTATTGTTTCTAAAAAAGTTAATACAAAACAATAATTATTGTTTCTGTTATTGTTTTTATAACAATTACAATAGTCCGAACCTTAATTCTGCCTACAATTGTCAAGTTTATTTATATTGTCAGTTTAGCTAAACTATAAAGAAACAATAATAAAAAAAAAGGCTAATCATAAAGACACATTTTATTAAGATACAATAAATAAGTTGGCAACATATTTATTGTATCTTAATAAAATGTGTCTTTATGATTAGCCTTTTTTTTATTGTAGTATTGTAAAGCGGTTTCTTGATGATGTCATCAAGAAACCGTTTGTTAGTTTCTTGATGATGCCATCAAGAAACTAACAAACCGGCAACAAAGCAAGTTAAATAGAATGTTGTAAAAAATAAAAAAATAATTTTTTTTTTTTTTGGTTGTTTAATCAATACAAATTTGTCATATCTATAATGAAATCGTTAACAAAACATAATATTTAATAAAATTCGTAGTATACAAAAAATGTAACGTGTCATCATTATTTAAAACCACGAGAAATTAAATCAAATTAAAGAAATTTGCAGAAGACCATCGGTCTTCTGCAAATTTCTCGTGTTCTTTAAATAATGATGACACGTTACATTTTTTGTATACTACGAATTTTATTAAATATTATGTTTTGTTAACGATTTCATTATAGATATGACAAATTTGTATTGATTAAACAACCAAAAAAAAAAATATATATTTTTTTATTTTTTACAACATTCTATTTAACTTGCTTTGTTGCCGGTTTGTTAGTTTGTTTATTTATTTTTTTAGTGACTGAAAATGAAAATGTTGGGCGCCAAAAGGAATGAAAAAGAACCGCGCAAAACAAACACGTAGTCAGCGGTAATAATAAAAGAAATCGTTAAAAAAAGTAATTAAAACAAAAATAAACCACAAACTTTTAGTGTTTTAGTTTAGCGTAAATAAATAGAATTGCTGTTGAATAATAATAATAATAATAATAATAATAACAATATATATATATATATATATATATATATATATATATATATATATATATATATATATATATATATATATATATATATATATATATATATATATATATATATATATATATATATATATATATATATATATATATCGTAAGATTAAGTGACCATGGCCCTACGGGATGACTTTAACCTAAGCGAAATTTTTATTTAAAAATGGTTTAAAATTGATACCTCAAGGTATGCCGGTTGATGTTTAGTAGCAAATTGTGGGAAATTCATTATTTATTTAGTCTAACTTAATTTACTTAACTCGAGTCTTTATGATATTATTGTAAATTGCACTTTAGAAGAAGCACCTAAAATCCGAATTTTTTTAGGTTTGTAAATTTTTACATCGATAGCAGTACCTGTAAAAAGTTTTTTATTGGAATATACACTGAATTAATTTTAAATAATTAGTGTTTGATTCTATCTTGTTTTGAAAGCTTAACAGTTTATTACTTTTTTGTAATTGAGCTTAAAAAAAAAAAGGTTGTCTTTGACCCACTACATAGGGTGACATTAGCCCGGGCTAAAGTCACCCCATGCATTAGAGTAAACCTTTTTTAGTGATCATTTATAGATATTATGGTAGTTACTATGTTAGAATGAAA